TGCTTAACGATTCCTGTGTTCGCATTTTAATGTGATTAAAAACGATTTAAGTGCAGGAACGGAAAGAACTTGCGCCCTGCTCGCGTGCAGCACAGACGAAGCGCAAGCGCGAGAACAGAGGTCGCGGTACGGTCTCGAACCGTTCCGTGTATTTCCACTGTAGAAAAGGTTGTTCCGGGTCGAAACTGACTTCTTTCATATTTGTCGACCAATATGCAGAAAACTACGTCAGTATATCATCATAAACACAGCCGTTTTTGTCTTACGTGAACGTAAACAGATGAGAAAGAAAATCCTGTTCGCGTGCAGCACACACGAAGCGCAAGCGCGAGAACAGAGGTCGCGGTACGGTCTCGAACCGTTCCGTGTATTTCCACTGTAGAAAAGGTTGTTCCGGGTCGAAACTGACTTCTTTCATATTTGTCGACCAATATGCAGAAAACTACGTCAGTATATCATCATAAACACAGCCGTTTTTGTCTTACGTGAACGTAAACAGATGAGAAAGAAAACACACATGTACAGTATTTTTAGATCTGCGTGCGTTCGGTGTTAAAGAGACAGCAGCCTAATAAACGTGCTGCCTGTCATTAATGTTAATCAAAGAACAAAATTAATTCATTCACTGACCTTGACTGAATATATTTAATAACTTTAATTGATTAATCTATATTTTATTTATGATACTGCTAATTGATTTGTTTGTTCACTTTAATATTTGAAATTTATGTTAATCTAGTTGTTTTTGCTGAGGTATTTTATTTTTAAACATAGGCAAAATTCCTCTTGCAGTGTTCTGTACGCTGCTGATTTTTGCTCGTGCTATTCAGCTGCAACAGAATGCTTTGTAAAAAGACAGAATAAATATTTGACTTAATTTTTTTTATATTGGATTTTTTTTATCTTATTGGAATCGAAACTAGGAATCGATAAGAATCGGAATCGATAAGCAGAATCGGAATCGATAAAATTCAAACGATACCCAACCCTAAGCAATAGGACCAATCACTGCAGATTAGTGTTACGCAAAGGAAAGGTTTGGAAAAATTAATCGTTGAACGAATCGTTTGGGAGTCATTGAGCAAGTAAGGTAAAAATAAATGCATATTATAAGACAATCAAAGTGTTTTTTGACCTTGCATGCATGTCAACCTGTTGTTGGGGACTCCCAAAACCAAAATATGAACCTTTCATTACCCATAATAGGGGCACTTTAAGAACTGTTTTCATAACTGTTTCCCTGAACTCAATCTTGATCAAACATGATAATGACTTTCTCTCTAGGTTAGTTACAGTCTGAGGCATCTGACAGCGCTGCAGTCTCAGAACCTGTACATCGGACCGCAACTGGATCCCGAACTGTCTGACCTGTACAGTGAATGTTTACACTTTTTGGAGCTGCCCTCACTGTGACCTTTACATGCCCCACGCCTTTGGAGCGCATGCAACACGAGGCCACCTGCAGGCCGCTGGAGGAACAGCAGCCTGAGGAAGGTGAGCGGCAGGAAGCAGGATTGTAAAGGCTCAGAATGTGCTTGGATGTCTTACTATAGAGCAGTGCAGTGATGATGTTATTTTTGTAGGCCAGCCTGGAAGTTAGTGTCACCGTGGTTCCCACAACAAAAACCCAATATGATTATTTCCATGAACACAACTTTTATGAATTCTGAAGCCTAAATATAGTCGCCAGAAGTAAAAACTTAAGTAGGCCGTAAATGAACTACACCACGGTCACATGACTTCAACGTCACCACCATTAAGCTTCCAAATCTTTTTAGTCTTTATTTAAAAAAACATTTTCTCTGAAGAATAGTTTGCAAAACCACGATAATAAACACAGTGAGGCTGTGAAAGTGAATTGAGTAGATGATCTGTACGTTTAATGTCCTGACAACCTCTGTAGTCCCATTTAGACTCCCTTTTTCTAGACAAATAAAAGACTTGATTTTACTGATGTATTTTATGCCATAGAATAGAACATTAAAATATCTTAAAGGGGTCAAAATGATGCGATTTCAAGTTCTCCTTTCTCTTTGGAGTGTTACAAGCTGTTCGTGAATAGATAAGATCCCTAAAGTTGCAAAGACTAAAGTCTCAAAACCAAAGAGATATTCTTTATCAAAGTTAAGACTCGTCCACGCCCTCCTAAAACGCCTCATTTAAACACGCCCCCACATGTCTACATCACTGTGTGGGAAGATTTGCATAACGCCGCCCAAATGTATACGCAAAGAAAGAATATGTAACTTTTATTCTCGCTCTTGTGTTCGCCACCTTATTTCAGGCATTTAGCTAAAAACCCACTGACTTCAGGACAATTAAATCAGAAATGCAAAAGTGCTAAATCATTTCCATGTTTTGGCTTACAAAAATACAGCATCCCAGTATATTATTTAATTATGGAAAATGAGACATACATAAATAGCTGAAATAAATAAATGTAAGAAACAAAATGTTTGCTCCGTATTCACAAAAATGTGAAAACATTTTCCACCATGACTTTCTTATCCATTAATTAGGCTGGCTGTAGATTTTGAAAATGATTTGGCAGATACACTGTATTTGAATATTCTAGATTTGAATATCACTAATCAGTTCTGCATAGTAAATGTTTTTTTCAGTCTAAAAGTGTACAAACGTCCTCATCATCTTCATCAGGTCTGACTAGGGTCTGTCATTGTGGCATCTGTAATAAAGACCCGACTCTCACCTCGACGGAGATCCTAAAACACAAAGCGCCAGCAACTGTCCTGAGCTCACGCATGGGTACACGCTCACACTTTAAGACCTTTTCTGTCCATTCAGCTCCTCTGTGTTTATATTTTCTCCATTACATTTTCAAATAAATGTGAAAACTCTCTTGATGTAATTCTTCTACTTGCCTTTAATTGAGTCCTGACTGAAGCGCCCCCTTGTGGACAATCAAGAACGCGCGTGGTGATAATTGGCTCCGCCTAGTGGTCAGAGTGATTATTGAATGTGTATCAAACAGAACTGTCAGAAATCGTCTGGTTCTTATTTCAAGAAACATTTTTTAATTATTTTCCTGACAATCAAGCACATCCTCCTCCCAGTTCTCTGTAGTTTGTAATTTGGACCACTGTAATACAATTAATTAAATTACATGAAAATATAGGTAGTGTTTGTTAAATATAATAATACACAGATTTTAATTTCATTTCTATTGATATTAATTTGAAAAATATTGTCTGCATGGTATTTTTTTTTGTTTTTGTTTTTTTTTTGGGGGGGGGGGTGATTATTGTCGTGAAAATATTAATTTACTTTTCTTTATGCAAAATATAATAGGGAGAAATGTGACCTATACATTTCTTCATGAAATTAGGCCTATTCCAACTGGATGTTTGAATGGAGCACAATGCACTATTGCTGTCTTGTGCTCTAATACACCAGACTGATACTGTGGTTATGAGTGAATGCTGAATGATGCCGTCCCACAATTAGTGTACATAAACACGATTCAGAGTGCAAACTTTTCATTAAAATATAGAGTTAGGGTTTAATTAATGATACAAACCCACGATATGTAACACCTCAAAGCAGCAAATTGGCACAAAGTCAGAGAAGTAAGACAGCACAGAAAATAAAAACCCGTCTCCAAAAATAAATAAAGAATTAGAATAAATATCTCAATAAATATATAAACAGGTAATATTTTCCATTGATTACTTTTCAAACTAATAGACACATACATATTAAAATATGCACATTGGCAGAAATAATCAACCTGGAAAAGAAAATGAGTATTTAGATACGTCGTTACTTAGAAATTATAGGTTATTGGTTAAATAAATCAAAAGGCACATTTATTAATAGGATGTATGACTAGGGCCCTCAAGGGTGGTCTCATCTCGCAAAGTTCTCTCTTTTTTTCCAGTGCTATTTTTGTGTTTTTTTGTGTTTCCCTACTCATGTCTAATATTCTGCCCATAAAGAGTGTGTGTGTGTGTGTGTGTGTGTGTGAGAGAGTGCGAGAGAATGTTTCACGTCTTCGAAAATGGACTGAAATGAGTCCAGATGGACAATGAAATACAATGCATGTGTGTAGATTGAATGGTCCAGTGGTTCATCTTGCTGTAAAACCCTTTTCTTTTAAAGTGACTCTAATGAGCAGTTAATACAACATTGATGGAGAAATCTCTTGAAGTTTGGACGTTAGTTCTTCCCCATCATAGATATCGTAATTAAGAGGCGTTGTCTTCCTAACTCAAACATTGACTACAGGGCTGTGGTAAGACAAGTTTAGGGGAGCTGAAATAGCAGCTTCGAGATATTTAAAGCAATGTTTCTTAACACTTTGAGGTCCAAACCGTTATGCCAGGCAGTGTTTGAACTGATTGGTCTAAATTCTTGCGTCCTTTAGCCAGACAACGAAGTTTTCGGCGTCACGTCATTTGCCTGTCCACAGTGAAAACAAAATGATATACTGTAACACAGTCACAGCCAGTCAGAACGTAGCTGATGTTTTTGGACCAATGGGATTTCACTGTGGGCGGAGCTACCCAGACAAAATGTCCTGTCACTTCGTTGGACGCGAGGTGCGTTGTAATTCGTTATAGTAAATGATTGAGTACTTCTCTTGTTGCCATACGGACAGATAAAGTTAAAATGTTGTGTCACACACAACAAGCCTTTGCTCTTTTATTCTTTACTTCTTACTAATAACTAATTGCACTGTATTTTTGGTGGTGTGTACAACTACATTTCAAGGCCTCGGTTCACATTTGTTGCGCAAATGTTCGGCAGATTCATGTCTAGATTATCTCTCCACGTTTTTGGTCTATACTTCAAATATAGGCAACATTCTTGGTTGCTGGCAAGTTCAATACAACTATACTCTCAAAAGAAAATGAGTATTTAGGTACGTCGTTACTTAGAAATTATAGGTTATTGGTTAAATAAATCAAAAGGCACATTTATTAATAGGATGTATGACTAGGGCCCTCAAGGGTGGTCTCATCTTGCAAAGTTCTCTCTTTTTTTCCAGTGCTATTTTTGTGTTTTTTTGTGTTTCCCTACTCATGTCTAATATTCTGCCCATAAAGAGTGTGTGTGTGTGTGTGTGTGTGTGTGTGTGAGTGCGAGAGAATGTTTCACGTCTTCGAAAATGGACTGAAATGAGTCCAGATGGACAATGAAATACAATGCATGTGTGTAGATTGAATGGTCCAGTGGTTCATCTTGCTGTAAAACCCTTTTCTTTTAAAGTGACTCTAATGAGCAGTTAATACAACATTGATGGAGAAATCTCTTGAAGTTTGGACGTTAGTTCTTCCCCATCATAGATATCGTAATTAAGAGGCGTTGTCTTCCTAACTCAAACATTGACTACAGGGCTGTGGTAAGACAAGTTTAGGGGAGCTGAAATAGCAGCTTCGAGATATTTAAAGCAATGTTTCTTAACACTTTGAGGTCCAAACCGTTATGCCAGGCAGTGTTTGAACTGATTGGTCTAAATTCTTGCGTCCTTTAGCCAGACAACGAAGTTTTCGGCGTCACGTCATTTGCCTGTCCACAGTGAAAACAAAATGATATACTGTAACACAGTCACAGCCAGTCAGAACGTAGCTGATGTTTTTGGACCAATGGGATTTCACTGTGGGCGGAGCTACCCAGACAAAATGTCCTGTCACTTCGTTGGACGCGAGGTGCGTTGTAATTCGTTATAGTAAATGATTGAGTACTTCTCTTGTTGCCATACGGACAGATAAAGTTAAAATGTTGTGTCACACACAACAAGCCTTTGCTCTTTTATTCTTTACTTCTTACTAATAACTAATTGCACTGTATTTTTGGTGGTGTGTACAACTACATTTCAAGGCCTCGGTTCACATTTGTTGCGCAAATGTTCGGCAGATTCATGTCTAGATTATCTCTCCACGTTTTTGGTCTATACTTCAAATATAGGCAACATTCTTGGTTGCTGGCAAGTTCAATACAACTATACTCTCTTGACAGAAGAATGAGCATGTATGTGGTGAAAGTGGTGGTTTTGGTGAAACTGCCCTCAATCAGACCGTTCACGTTCCCTGTTCTCAAACAATTAAAAGTGATACGACATCAACATGTTCTCCTTCACAGATATGTTCTGGCCGAACGTGCGTGAAAAACCTACTGCAAAGACCATATACAAAACCTCACCACAGCACACAGTCCCCGAAATAAGTCTATCTGCCTTCCTCTCCTCTGGACTTTGAGGTAAAACTCAGTAACTTAGAGGTACAAGGGGAGTGTATTCGTTAACTCGATTGCAAAAAATATCTTTCAGTAGTTCAAGTAAAATTAGATACTAAAAAAAAGGTCCCATAACCATAGCTATAAACATTTTTCATCTCATATATTCTCCCTAAATTAAATAAAAAATAAAACCCAAGAGAAAAAAACAAAACAATTGTTTACACATCACTGATCCCCATTCACTCCCCACCTCCCGGAGACGACCCCTGACCCCAACGACCAGCAAATCAGAGAGATCTCCCCGAACCCATGCACCCACCGCCGGTACGAGCGTGAAGGGTCCGAGCAGAGAATAGAAAGAGCGGAATGCAGCAGACGGCTTCGGAGGGGGCGAGGGGATATTATCGTGAAGGTTTATGTAGGAGATCTGGCTCTACGGCTGTTCCTCATCTTTGTGCTCCCGTCCCGTCACAATAAGCTCCGCCCACACGCCCTCCCCCCTGTCAGGCCTTGTGCTTTCCTCCGCAGCAGCCACATCTCTCCCCACAGCGCAGGCATATGCGCAGGGGCAGGTAGCAGCACATGCAGGGCACGAAAAGAGACAGCACCAACAGCGCCATCCAGCGGGCGCAGCACAGCACGTGTGGCCGGCCGCCCAACGAGTCCTCGCACGAGCACGGCTCCCAGAACTCGCCCTCGGAGTCCGACATGCAGTGGTAGAGCAGGCTCTCCGCGCACCACACACACGTCCACTGGCGCAAGCAGTGTAGCGCCGGGTCGGGAGCGTCCCGACAGCGGCCCCGTCCATTCTCGGAGGCGCTGAAGACAGAGCGGCAGTAAACGCAGCGCGACGAGCAGGAGGAGGAGCCCTGCGGACAGGAGCTGTCATCGTCAGGCGAGATGGCGTCCCCTCCGCTGGCCCCTCGCTTGCGAGTCCGAGAGCGGGGCGTGGCGAGTGAGGTGTGGATGCAGCAGGGTGAAGGTGAGCCTTTGCCCGTCTCCTGCGGGGAGCCGCTGGCCGACGGCACTCCCGGCACAGCATTGGGCACGCAAGTGGGCGAAGAGTTGCACTGAGAGCCTTTGGTGTCCAGCATGACGGTGACCTCGCAGCCCGTGGTGCCCACGCCGGCCAGTTCCTTCTCGAAGCGCACCACGCAGAGCTCCGACTTGTCCTGGCCGCCGCCCACCACCACGCCCCCCGTCAGCCCGCCCACTTTGGTCCGTGTAGCACCAGCGCGGCGGTAGTCCTCGTAGCCGCGCGTACCCCACAGGTCCTTGCAGGGGTCGAGGCTGCGGAGGTCCCCTTCCTCCAGCAGGGAGATGGTGGGCGAGAGTGGAGAGAGGGGGGAGGAGGCAGGGGGCACTATGGGGGGGGTCGGGGGAGCTGGAGGAGGCGGAGGGGGCGCCGGAGGGTTCAAAATGGCGGTAACTTGGGTGAGCTGGTGCTGGGCAGGTCGGGTGTGGATCTGCGGCGAGAGAAATTCAAAAATACAATAAACATGCACTTCATTCATACATGGATGGGTGTATTCACACCAAGAAAGTCCGCTAGTTCACTTGCTTTGGTCTGGAACAAATACAATGTTGATTTTTTTGTTTGGTGTGGTTTGCTTTCACACTGCCCCTTTTGCAACTGAACCAGAAATTGTAAGGGTGTATTCACACCTGTCTTGTTTGGTTAGATTGAATCAAACTCAAGTTCGTTTCCCCCCTTGGTGCGGATCTTTTGGGCAGGTACGGACCAAACATGTACTAAACGTGTACTAAGGTCATCCATTCATAGGTTCATCCATTCAACTATACTAGAGTTAATTTGGAACCGGACCGAGACCACCTCTTCAGCTTGGTCTTGGTACGGTTGTTTGGTCCACACCTGAGTGCAATTGCTGTATTCACACCTGCCCAAAAGATCTGCACCAAGGGGGGAAACGAACTTGAGTTCGATTCAATTGAACCAAACAAGACAGGTGTGAATACACCCTTACAATTTCTTATTGATTTTTCCCATTTTGGACACATGGACACAGCATTGATGGACATACCAGAATCAACTTTCAAGCAATGTGAATCCTTTACCTGGGCAGGGGTCTGCATCGTGCCGGCGTGCCCTGTCCCATACGCAAACTCCTCTGTGGAGTGCACAAAACAGGTGGAGGACGACTCACTGGTCACAATGGTAATGGGTTTGGGCAGCATCTCTTTTCTGCTGTTGGATGACGACTCACTCCCTGTATGAGACTGAGACAGACTGCAAGTCATCAAACATGCAGAACCACCTCATACTTAAGCAACAATATGGAGGATAGAAGGTGTACATGTGTAGTTTGGATTTTCTTGTTTTATGAACGAGTCATTCACTAATTCTGCTTTGACTTCATTTGAATAGCATTCAAAAAAATAAACTAAATTATTGTCAAGATTTTAGACAGGAAACGGCAAAGCAAGTTATTACATTTTGATAACTTCTGATGATCACAAAGACAATTTTCTTTGGAATGACATGCACCGGTGAATCGTGCACAATAAGACCAGAAACACATAGGAAAATAAATAAGTCAATTTTGATTTATTGACTTCAACGTCTGCCGTGACTTCATGAGTATCTAGGCACGAAGTAATTCTGAGACAGACACAAAGATGAACCAGATACTTTGAAGCACTCAGATTTGATAAAAACACTCACTGCTTGACCGTCATCCTCAGTGTCGCCCTCTTCAGGTGTCAAGGAGGATGGCGAGTCAGATCCTGCAGGGAAATATAAAAAAAAAGAAAACATTTCAAGAAAGAAAATAGGAGTTCACATTAGCAATATCCTTGCATGGCATTGTCTTCTTAGAGGCCAGAAAAACTGGGTTATTTGGCTTTAAACCTCTGAACTACATTCAATTCTTTCACTCCAGCTTCCTGTTCACTATCTTTTGCTGCTTCTGTACCTCTGTCCAGTTTCTCAAGGACACTTTGTAGCCCCCTCTCGAAGGAGATGGCGTCAGCTGGACTCTGGAAGGTCAGACCAAACTTCCTCTCCTCCACACGCCAATGATGAAAGATGGGGTTCACCTTGTTGTAGACCAGACCCTTTTGAATGGCGCATTCCAGCACAGGCTGCACGAAGAAAAAAAAAGAGACAGGCGGGTCACCCGTGGGCCACTCATGAGGGCAACTACCAGATTACCCGAACTACCAGGACTGTCAGGCTGAGGGAACATCAGTGCACTCAAAGACAGGCATGAACACACACGCACACACTCACTGCTCGATCGCGTAGCCGTTCTCCACGTATGACGTACTCTCTCCGCCCACGACCTTCAGAGCTCCGCCCCTTACATATGATCACATGACTGAGGCCGCCACCTCCAAGGGGCACCCAGCCACCGCTAGAATCATCACGTGTCATCACCACCGCTCGGACACGCACACTGTTAGGGAAGTGAAAGCAGTGAGTGCACTAGCCAGCTGAGCGCAAACACACACACACACACACACACACACACACACAAACACAGACTTTGAGACATAGACAATTAAAGAAGAAAATACAACCATCAGTATAAAATATCAAAATAGCCTCAAAATGAAGGTAACTGACAATTAATAGGGAAAAGACACAGAGATACAGAGTGAAGATGTGTAAGGAAGTACTATTATTGGCCTGCAATATCCACTGAAAGGATGACGTTCATAAACCATTTTGCTTCTGTAATCTTTCTGGACATATTTCCGAGTGAAACTAAATATTCAGTGAGAATAAAGGTGAGGTGGGACATTGGATTTTATGCATTTGAAGTTTATTTGAAGCATCATAAAAAAGAAAGGATGTTTCAGACAATGAGCAAGTTACATTACATCTGTAAAAAAAAGAAAGATTTTATTAATAGAAATAGCATGCACTAATGAACTGGCCATCAAAGAACACGCATTAAAAAAAGTTAAGCTCAGTTTTGATTTCATGTCGACTGACATTTTGGAAGTACTTCGTAGTGAAATGCCTTTAACCTCTACAATCGTCCTTTTTTTTTTTTTTCAATGTTGAAAACTTAAAGCCAGGCCGGTTCAAGCCAAATGCAAGCAAGGTTAGTCTGGAGATTGGGGTTTTGGAAGGAAACGCACCTCGCAGTCTTTTGCTACAATATGGTTGATGTGATGGCCACAGCTAGCAGCAGACACGTGACTGGAGGGGACTGGATGAAACATGTTTGGCTCTTTTCCCTGCCCACGCCATGATGATGAAGTTAGTCCAAATGAAGAGTCATTTCAGAGGTGGAGCAAGTTATTTGTTCAAATATCACTGAGAATTAATGTGTACCACAATAGGGCCCATAACATACATTCAACGTTTAGTAAATTTGGTTCATTTTTATGCTGACGTTAGAGGTGCAATTGATTTCACCCCTTTTGGCAAGATTTAGCCATACAGTAGACAATGAATATAACACGCCCCCTTTCCAAAACTCCGCCCCGAATTTGCAAAGAACTGACAGAAGCTGAGAACGTTTCTGATTCGCTAGAAAAGGGCGGGCCGCTCCCCCCTAGTTCTGCTGTGACAGAGACAGGTGTGATTTGATTAGTCAAGAAGACGCCCATTTTAGTGATATCCGTCAGGTGACAGGGACATTTTATGCTTGATATTCAAAAAATCGCCCTTTAATATAATTTTGAATGATTCCTTGAGACAAGATGGTGTGGCATGGTTGCAAGGAGTGCTTTATCTGTTAAATGGATTGAATGATCTTAAACCACAAGGTCACGTGCGCTTTGTGCATTCCCTAAACTACAGGAAATATATCAACAGTGAAGCACGATTATAACAATGAGAGGGTTTTTTTAATGGACGGTCACGTGGGCGAGGAAAATCTAATCACACTTTCCAGCCATCGCTCCTTTCTGTAGAAAAGTCTTTAATACAGTCGTTCCGCATTTACAATGAAAACAACAAAGAGCATAATGGCTCCATATGAGGGAGCAGCACAACGAAGCAAATCGTAAATAAATGAATGGCCTGCGGGGAATGAGATGATGAGGGAGAGGGTGGGAGATGAAGAGTTGAGATGTATCAATGAACGCCCATTCGCCATGCAAGGCCCTCAGAGCGGGTTTCCAGTCCGACAAGCTCCATTACAATAAACGCTACGAAATCACATCCATTTTGATTCAGAGCCCCGTTTGTGTTATTAAACGGCATCAGTTATTCTAAGCCATCGCAGCACCGTGTCGACACGCGTTCATCCCGCTGTTTTATGAATGGATAACACCACATATATGCTACAGCACGGCAAATTCAATGGGCAGATGAGTGTGTGAAAGGAGGATATGGACAAGAAGAAGAAGAAGAGAAGAGAAGAGAAGCGCGGGGGGCGGGGGGAGGGAGGGGGGACATGAAGAGGAAGAGGAGGAGGGGGTGAGAGAAATATCACATTTCATTCATAAAGTTTGGCTTTAAAAATCATAATGAAACTCGAGACGCGTTGATAAAAGCATCCCTCTCCGCCTCCACCCCGCCACTGAGCTCCCGACGCCAGAAAACTCGCCATATTTCGTCGATTTGGAACGACACGTTTTATAATTCACGAGTGTATTTGGTGGTTATTATACGTGGAGCCTCCACACACACACACACACACACACACATCATCATCATCTTCGAGACAAAAAGCCGTCTCTTACTGCACCCCGTTCGGCATTGAAGGCGTTTATATACGTTAGTGCACTTCAGCCGAGGCCCGTTCACTGGCGTTATTCATCAAGTGTTGGATGTATATGGAGAATATGGTGTACAGTGTTGATAGCCATAGCTGCGTAATAGTGTTTATGAGCATCTTAGAGCCATTAGAGGTGCTGCAAATCAATCAGTCTGTTCTGCTCAAATAAAAATGCATGGACTTACTCGCCCTCCATGGCTCGGTGTTGCCCGCCGCTTCGAGCTGGCTGCCCCCCGGTCTCTCGTCTTTTTTATTCCCCTTCTTTCCGAACACACACACACACACTCGCGCGCGCGCGCGCGTCCTCTCACACACACACACAC